ATCGGTGTTTATATAGCCGTGGTGTTATCATGATCATGACATCAACATCACGAAGTGTTGCCCTTCGTACTCCCTGGTTTTGTGAGCGGTTGGTCCGGACGGACAGAACGACACACACACACCGACAAACCGACACACCAAAGTTCTGGTTTATATAATGAAGTGATTCCTTCTGGTGTGAGTTAAGAAAGAGGTGGACGCAAAATGTAACAACTATGCGTCATTGCGATCTTCTTCGAGCTTACAAAGTGCACTTAGCTCATGTTGGTTTATGCTACTGCTGTATTTCTTGACCATGGCGCTACTTTCGGAAAGCTTGTCCCTGCCCATTTTGCACTGGTGAAGCTGACTTCTCATCGCACTAGCGTGGAGTGCATCGAAAAAGAGGCTAAAAATCCAGTAGCGCCCCTAAGTGAACGAAGAGCTTCGTTTACAGGCATTCAGAAATTAGTCAACGTTCCTACTATGAACGTGAAATCACGAGCTGTTACCGTCGCGTTAGCCTCCTTACATCCATATTAGACCGAAAATCTTTCTTTCAGGTGTACATGTGTCAACCATGCGCAAAGAAATGGACCGAAGGAAAAGGTACATGCCCGCCAGGGAAATGTCTTACAAAAGGGCGGTTCGAAAGCAAGAAAAGGGAAGCGAAACTCGCCAGTGGTACCAGCTTTCTCCTACTCCCAACGCTCATCCCGATCTCATTTTGTAAAGCCATTCAGATAAAAACGCCATGCTCTGGCCTGCCGGATTGCGAAGGTGAAGTACTGAGAAACTTCCCGTCAGAAATGGAATGTGAACACGAAGTTTGCATTAACTGCTTGGCGAAAACCCTCGACGAATGTGAACACAGCAGTGAGTTTCAGAGTAAACTAGAGACCTGCCGCATGCCGCGCGCGACAAAATTGCGTGAAAATGGTCGCTGCGACCGTTGTACGCACTTGGAGCGCGCCGCGTGCGCAGCGAACTGTGAATTCGTGCGACGTGCAGTGACACCTGATTGCTCACCCTCGAGGTTTTTCAGGATCTCTAGGGTTCACAGACTACTTGAATTTCATGATCCTGCCGCGAATGGCTTGAGCACAGTGGCAAAAGTTCGAATGAGTGAGGTCACAGTATTACTAGCCGCTGTTCAGGCGAAAGAGGAAAAAAAAAAAAAAAAAAAAAAAAAAAAAAGGGGGGGGGGGGGGGGGGGGGGGGGGGGGGGGGGGGGGGGGGGGGGGGGGGGGGGGGGGGGGGGGGGGGGGGGGGGGGGGGGGGGGGGGGGGGATGCGAGGTTACAGTCGAGATCCGTAAGTTGGGGTAGGCGTGTCACCGGAAGTGACGTGGACTTGATAGAAGTTGCGTAGGTAAGTCGCTGCCAGCATGCTTTGCTGATATCTCGCGATATATTGGAAGCACCTTATCCACATAGATTCTATCAAGTACACGTCACTTCCGGTGACACGCCTACCCCAACTTACGGATCTCGAGTATACATCGAATTTCAAGTGATTCCGTAATAGTTCGCTATACTGCAAACAGCATGTGAGATGCCATGCCCTAAGAATAAAATGGTGTTGGTTGTAAGGCAACGCGCTTCCCGGCTTCAATCATTCAACCGTAGCAACTGTCCCCATTTCACCACCTCCTCCTCCTCTTGCCTAAAGGTCCTCTGACACAACCATCCGGACTTCGAATCTGTCAGAAGGCTATGAAAAATACAAACCTTCCTGAGAAAACCAAGTCCGGTTGTGGATTTTTTTAAGAAATTCGACCAAAAGCGACCCCCTTATGAAATCACAAGATCAGTGCTTTGAGGCTGTGTAAGGACCTCCACGGCTATCTCGGACTGAGAGCACGTATGAAGGTTGACGCTGGCGTTTACAGATACTCCGCCCATTTGTCCGAATGAAGCATGTCGACATATCCATATCGCTGTGACCGTGTGCTTTTCACTAAAAGCTGCTGTTCCCAGACGAAGCCCGCGTTATTTCAGCCGCTTCGTTTTGGAATCCACATTCATTCTATGACAGACACTGAAGATGATAACGGATTACGGTTACGGAATACTTTGACTTTTGTAGGGAAAGAGATATAGCCGTGTGGACTGAGCGACGCAGCCTGGAAGTAAGGCTGTGATTACATGTTCCTGCTGTAGTCACGTAGCAACCTGGCGAATTAAGCGTTAAACCGCCCGTCCGCTATGCTTTCTCTGCGCTCCCGAACGAAGAGGGGGAGACGCCTCGAGCCCAACTGTACTGAGCGCCGTTCCTATAGGAGGTGGATGGCGCGCCGAGCGGAGCGTACGCTGCGGCGCTCGACCATTTTTGGATTGCATGGCTACCGCAGAAAGCGCGCCGCTGCGAGCGCAGTGTACGTGATTGCGGCAGGAACCTCGTAATTCACTTGCCTTACTTTAGGTACTCGCCCTGTTCACGGCTTATCCTTTGATGCCAAACTACCCCTAAAATCCCATAGATAAGAGCGGTTTAATTTACCGGTGAAAAATGAATTGGAATGAAATTGAAATTGAATGCAGTCACCCCTCTAACTTGATGGATGGATAAATAAAAATCGGAGAAGAAGTTTAGAAGAAGCTCCGCCCCTCAACTCTAAACCCCGCCCACTTAATAAACAATTCATATAGAAAAATAGCGATTTTAGCGATTTCGCTATTTTTCTATATGAATTGTTTATTAAGTGGGCGGGGTTTAGAGTTGAGGGGCGGAGCTTCTTCTAAACTTCTTCTCCGATTTTTATTTATCCATCCATCAAGTTAGAGGGGTGACTGCATTCAATTTCAATTTCATTCCAATTCATTTTTCACCGGTAAATTAAACCGCTCTTATCTATGGGATTTTAGGGTAATTTTCAAATACATAACCGGAAGCGCCGTTGCGCGGCTGAAGGCACACTGCAGTCGTCGAAATGTTGGACTCGATACGCCCAACACCCACTCAATCCTAATCTATTCAGTCACGGAATGGGCCCCCTGTCCTTTTCTATCGAATTTATCCCAATACAGTGAGCACGGTAGAATGGGTCTGTAACATAGAAGTGTATGTATCTATGAAAGCAGCAGCCAAATGGCAAAGAAAACGAGGCGTAGCGGCTTTTTTCTTGACCAAGGGGGCAGTGATTCCAAATCCAATTAGGTGAATTAGGTGAACCAGAGAACCAGCCTGAAATTGCTAGCCATTAGCAAGGAATGGATCGCCATGGCCATTCAAGAAGAGATGTATACGCCTAGATGTGCCTTCGAACGCTGATCTCAAATCTACCTTCCAATCTGCTAAACGATTCTCTGAACGGAGTTATGAAGCAAAACAGCGCAACGGTAGTGGTCGGGACTCAGTCAAGATATAGAAAGATCGACCACTTGTCGTGTTTTCTGTCCTACTCTTTTGATGAAGAAGCTGAAACGGCTCTCAGCAGCCTATTTAGCTGTATTCCTGAAGATTACTACCGCAGGGTACTAGCGCAGGGCTATTTTGCTTCATAACTCCTAGAGGATCGTTAGCAGATTTGGAAGGTAGATTTGAGATCAGCGTTTGAAGGCACACCTAGCGTATACATCTCTTCTTGAATGGCCATGGCGACCTGAGAGCCTTTCCTTGTAAGTGTGGTCATTTACGTCCACAAAGTCGTTTCATTATGGTTCATTTTCGTTTTGAAAGCGCACTTAGTATCTGATGGTTGCGTACTGGAATCTTATCCTGTATTGGGGTAACTCTACATACCTAAAGAGCCACTTCTCGGACTAAATTCATCTCGTCGGAATCAAAGAAAATCCAGAGTGCCTTTCAGCATGTTTTGACGGATTTTCCGCCATTTATTCGCCTATTTATTGAAAATTTTTGTCTTTTTATTTTCGTCACCCAAGCATCCTTTACCACTCTATTTTCATGACCGATCAACAGCAAGTTGTC